CTAGAGGTAATTTTTAAAAATTAGCTAAATAGATGGGAAATTGGTGAGAGAAATGCCCAAGAACTTCTCTCAAATAAATTTTAGGGTTGGAAATATCTGTTTCTTGTAATTTGGCCTGAAATGTATTTGCAATTGTATCACAAAATGTCCCTATGTTGAGTCAGTGTCCTCATGTTGGGCCATTTTTATAAATTTTTATGATAAAATAAGTGTCCCTATGTCAAATTGTCCACAGGTCAAGGTGTCCGCATGTGGGGGTCTCACTGTGCTCTATATTGAATGTGCTGGATTGGATTTGAAGTCTCCTGGTGGAGAATGCTTCCCTGTCCTCAATTATTTTTGTTTCACAGGTTCTGTTTTGTTAAAAATAGAACAACACCTCCAGAGAATTGAAGAAAGAAACGTGCCTACAAGAAAGTGACTAGGACAGAAAAGGTCCAGAAGCAGTTTTATTCCCTTGATAAATTCTCATGATTGAAAGAGCAGTGTTCGCGTATGGGTACTTTGAACTGTTCACTTATTGAGTTAGTAGTTGAATATGGGGGGAGACAAGAGAGAGGCATCTTGTCAGAACAATTATTACTTGCAGGGAAAAATGGCATGCTCAGATATCGAACCTTGATAGACTGGGTTTACAGTTTTCTGCTGCGAAATGATGAATATTCATAGACTGAAGAAGCTTACTGAATGGATGTTGATGACCAAGATATATTATATATGAATCATGCCCGCCTTGATATCTGTATCCTCTGCCCGTGACTGGTACATCTAGAAAAGGGGTCTAATCCACAGATTGCATGTGACTGGATCCAATTGCTTTCACCAACAATGAAAATGTTCTTTCTATGTCTATGACACTCATATGACACTCATGACACTCATGGGTGATCTTCTTGCACAAAATATTCTAGTTGCCCTCCTCTTCAATGCAATACATTTTTCAAAATTTCATTTCCCGTTTTTGCCCTTTCTGGTTGAGAAACTCAGGGTACCTCCATGCAATGTTTTTGCTCAAAATAAAAGGTCAAAGTATATGGAAGTTTGTTCAAAGGGACAATCTTGGACTTTTCCCCCACCGAAAAAAAGTTGCGCGTCAAATTATTGATGAACGGAAAGGCCGAGAGGACCGTCTTTTATACAGGGTGAATCAGCAGACAACAATGCAGCAATTGTGATAAAGCTGTTTTATCCCCTGAACAGAACAAGCTAAAACCTTCAGGGAACAGTCCTTAACCCAGTGATCTTTTAATTACTGTATATGCTCGTAGGTTACTAGGCATGAGTTGACCAATATACAATTGCTTTAATCCGCGTTCATCGGGCACAACTGTAATAAAAACCTTTTGAATCCACGGAAGAAAAGCATTGACGTACAGTACCAGGGTTGTCCAACTTGGAATTATCCTTGGGTATTTTTAGAGNTTTTTTTGTAAAATAATCTTTAAAAATGTGAAAATTTCAAATGATTTAGAAACTATAATGGTTAAAACAACAAAAATATCAAATTTATTTTATCTGTGCTGATGCATTTTTAGCATTTTGTGACATGGGTGGATAATTCTGGCAGGAACTGGAAAGTTTTCACTTATCATCATGCAGTAAATTGAAATTTTTTTTTTAAATCTGAAAAAATTCCAAGATCTTAAAAAATTGTGGCCTCAATTATAAAATTGTATTTACAGTTGTATCTCTCCAGAAGTACTCAGCAAGGCTAACTTCAAGTGGGACAACCCTCGCTCGTATGTCTCTCAAAGGTTTTCTTTTAACCTTGTCAGTTATGACATTTTACCTAAAGCAATACAAGTGAACATCATTCGAAAGATGACTGAAAATGCAGCATTTTCATTTACCTGCAGCTGACAAAGGAAATTGATCAGGAGACACACCTGTTACACAAGTTACATGCTTTTTTGCTGCATCGTGTATCTTAAAAGCGTCTGTTGGAAGGATTTTCCATGCTATCCCCATCTTCTCCCAATATAATTTTTTTCCTTTTAGGAGGGGGCCCCCCCTGAGTGGCGGGAACAAGTTTCCACACCATCAAGGAGAGTCAAATTACCCCTCCCAAGTTTATATAAACTGCTTGTCTCCTCTTCTGGTGTCAGTCACAGAAGTCCGGTGGCACGAAAAAGTGTAGTGCGCGTCGCGGGCGGGTGACAATTTTAAATTTTTTTTTTCACAAATTTCGAACGTTGCATGTGTCCTATGCGAGTTATAAAGGACAACGAATTTTGAATCGTTAAAAATATGGATACATAAAACTATAGTAAATAAAAATTTGAAGTTCGACTCGAATTAAAGTTTTTTTCACTCTTAGCTCTCTTGTTTTAAATTTTTATCTTCAATGTTGCATCTATGCATGAGTAATGTTTAAAGCATGCCCTAATGTAAAGAATTAATATAAAAAATACTTGACTGATGCTATAAGCTTGAATTATGAGGAGGAAATTTTAAAAATTACAAGGCTTTGAATGGTGGATTAATTTCACTTTGTTCTTGTATTTCATGCCCTAATGTAAAGAATTAATATAAAAAATACTTGACTGATGCTATAAGCTTGAATTATGAGGAGGAAATTTTAAAAATTACAAGGCTTTGAATGGTGGATTAATTTCACTTTGTTCTTGTATTTATTAATCATTGTATCCCCTTGAAGTCTAGTTCGAAAAAATTCCTCGCCTCTGGAGTATTGTTGGTAATTTATTCAACGAAATCATTGAATGAAAACTGGTTCCCATGAATTACATCCCATCCGATCTTCGGATTTGTTCTGCAGTTTTCAAATGTTAGCAAAATTGACCGCTGATCAGTTGGAGCTGACTTTATTTCGAAAGGTTATCAACAATCTTCCATTAACAGTAATCCATTCCACTTTGTTTACCTCCTCTTCGGGTTGTACACGTGGAAATGTTCACAACGCTGAAAAAAGGAATTTTAATAGAGATTTTGGACTTCAAAATAATGGCAAACGTATCATCGTAGTTTGTTCAATGAAAGTAAAAACACTAAGAGATTTGAAAGCCAATAGTTGGCATTAATTTTAAAATAAGATTTAAACTGTAATATTTCAGTGCATGTCTTATTTACTATCTGTATGTCAGCACATAGCCGGAGCTGAAAGTTTATTTTAAAGAATCACAGAAGCGGTAAGCGAACAGATAAAGCAATTGAGCAAAAATAACATCCGATTATGCGTGTCAACTGTTAGATTCGCGGAGTTTAAAACAAGCTTCCAGCATGTCTCAGAATTGTAGGTTGACACATTATGATCGCCAGTAAATAATTATCCGAGGTAGCACATTGATGGATTTGTGGAAATGGCAGGAGCAGTGATTAAAGTTCTTTTTAATTTTTTTCCAGACCTCTCCTAAATACATTTTTGGAGACGACGTAATTCTTTCCTCGCGAATGGAAATTTTAAAAATGTGTACATTTTTTCCCGTTGGGAGTTACGACAGCGGAAAATTGGAATCCGATCTACATTATAATCAAATCATCCAGTTGGTGTGANCTCGCCTCTGGAGTACTGTTGGTAATTTATTCAACGAAATCATTGAATGAAAACTGGTTCCCATGAATTACATCCCATCCGATCTTCGGATTTGTTCTGCAGTTTTCAAATGTTAGCAAAATTGACCGCTGATCAGTTGGAGCTGACTTTATTTCGAAAGGTTATCAACAATCTTCCATTAACAGTAATCCATTCCACTTTGTTTACCTCCTCTTCGGGTTGTACACGTGGAAATGTTCACAACGCTGAAAAAAGGAATTTTAATAGAGATTTTGGACTTCAAAATAATGGCAAACGTATCATCGTAGTTTGTTCAATGAAAGTAAAAACACTAAGAGATTTGAAAGCCAATAGTTGGCATTAATTTTAAAATAAGATTTAAACTGTAATATTTTAGTGCATGTCTTATTTACTATCTGTATGTCAGCACATAGCCGGAGCTGAAAGTATATTTTAAAGAATCACAGAAGCGGTAAGCGAACAGATAAAGCAATTGAGCAAAAATAACATCCGATTATGCGTGTCAACTGTTAGATTCGCGGAGTTTAAAACAAGCTTCCAGCATGTCTCAGAATTGTAGGTTGACACATTATGATCGCCAGTAAATAATTATCCGAGGTAGCACATTGATGGATTTGTGGAAATGGCAGGAGCAGTGATTAAAGTTCTTTTTAATTTTTTTTCCAGACCTCTCCTAAATACATTTTCGGAGACGACGTAATTCTTTCCTCGCGAATGGAAATTTTAAAAATGTGTACATTTTTTCCCGTTGGGAGTTACGACAGCGGAAAATTGGAATCCGATCTACATTATAATCAAATCATCCAGTTGGTGTGACATTTTCATTTAAAATAATTAACTTCATCGCGGAAAGGATCCTTTTTTCTCTCATGAAATTGAGCGACAAAAGCATGTCAAATGCCTCATCTATTGATTCTGTCATGTTCTGAATAACGAATTTCCCTCAAATGACTGTTCTGAATATTTTGTTGTGCCAAAGTTAATTTTTTCCGCTAGTGTTTGCTCGAAACTTTTTTGTACGTTTTCTATCTCAAATCTGTCATCGAATGTCTACGGGAGGCCTTCTTTTATGGATATTAATTTTTTGTCAAGCTGTACATTTTTTATCACATCTTTTGGATTATTTTTGGTTTCCATTGACACGGAAGATTTTGAACTGCACTCACACCAGGAATACTTCAGATTTTTAATTTTCAAAATTACTCATGACCAAGTCAATGTCCCAAACTTTTGCTCCGTCTTCTTTCTGATCCCTTTGATACTTTTTTTTTTTTTAAATCAAGATGGACGCCATGTTTGCATTGTTAATACCTTTAAATTTCGGAAGTAGCTAAGACCCTTTTAGAGAACGTAGTGGACCTTGCCCGGACTTACGGTGAACAACTGTCAGACCTAGGTTGGGGATCACTCACGAACTAAGCCTTTCCCTTGTCCGTTTCAGAATTAGTGAAAAAACGGGGCAACGAAAATGTCTAATTTAGACAAGCTAGTGCCGAAAGATCGGAATCTTTCGTTGCGTGAGCATCAGCTCGCCAACTACATCATCGCCGCTAATAAGCTGCGTGAGCGGCAAACGACGCAGTCGGAAGAGCTTCCGGTCAACGGAAGTGCAGCCGCGTCACGAGGCAGCAGTAGCGGCTAGTTTTAGATACAGCTGGGCAGGCTGCGGGGCAACAGGTACGCCTCACTGCTGCCGTCACCCGACCTTTTGCGGCTACTGTCGTTCCTACTAGTCACTCAAAACGCAGCCATTTCTCTCGCACGTCAGGCAGGAAAAAAACCTCGTTCCTGCGTGTGGGCTTCGGTCTTAATAACGACGGAAAAAACAACGGAAAAAAAAAAAAACGTACACCAGGCAGCATAAGTTGCAGATTTGAGAAGCGGGGGTGATGCGAGTTACGTTCGGGTCAGGTATTTTCGCATTATTTTGGAGTGGCAGGTAGAAAATCAGCTTGATTTTTCCACTTGAATTCGTCTAGTTTTTCCACCGAGGCCTTGTTAATCCACTGAAGAAGAAAAAAAACAAATCGGAGAAAATTTTTTAAGGAAGACACGGATTTTCTCAACAAAAATTACTGCATTGCTATCTTTTTTGTAGCAGTCAGTTTGATTCAGAAATTCTAACGACGCCCGGAAGACAAAACAACGCGTGCCCATATTAACTGATGACGAAAAGTTTGTGGAAAATCAAGTTTCAAACTGACTAAAAAGAAAGTTCCACTGAATCAAAATTTTGAATAATACAACCTTCATCCTTTAAATAACCGACTCGACCGAATTGCGTTTGGCAACGTTTCTGAGACCGTTCATCTCTGATGGCACTGACACAGTTTCTGAACTTTATATGCTACGGCGGATATGCTTTTATGCGGAAACTCGGTTTCATATTTTTGATCATATTCTGTGAGATGTAGCGGAGGGCAGCCCTTCGCATACTTTATTTCTGGCACTGACACAGTTTCTGAACTTTATATGCTACGGCGGATATGCTTTTATGCGGAAACTCGGTTTCATATTTTTGATCATATTCTGTGAGATGTAGCGGAGGGCAGCCCTTCGCATACTTTATTTCAGATTTGCCCTGTGGTGAATCATCAATCCACTTGAGCTCCGTGAGCTCAGGCTCAAAGGGCTGAGCTCTTTGAGCTGTGCCAAGCTTCTCATGGTTTGCATGGAATGGAGGATGTATAAGATCGTTAGCAAGTATATGCCGCGAACCTGTTCCGGTATAATTGATGCTAGATTTACGATAAGATAATACTTGACGAAACAAATGTGCTTCGATAGCATGCGCTGCACTCGTTCATATGCGAATAATGTTGCATTTGATACTATAAGATTTGTTTTTTTTACATTTTTATTGAGAGCGTTAGAAAAAAAAACTATCCGGGATATACAAAGAAGTACGTTTTTCTTCCTTCTTTCGCATAAAGTAAGTGCACGAAATAAATTATGCAAGAGTAAGTGCACGTTTCTATATCTCTTTTTTAATTGTGTCAAATAGTTCTAGGCTTAGTTAATCACTTGTATAGTACATAAAAGTCTTACCTTGCAGTAAAAAAAATAATTTATAGTTAGTATTCCAGAGGCGTTAAACGGATGATCTTGTTTGGAATGGGCTCAAAAGGATGGAATTCCGGAAATTAGCCGTTGACAAAATTTTTTGCGAACCTTGAACGCTTCATAAGGAGTCAAATTCCCTGTTGTCGGTACTACAGTGTTTCAGCAGTCGTATATCGCATATTATCTAAGACCACACTTGAAAACTTGTGAAAATACTGCCTAAGCCGCAAACATATATGTAGAGTACAGTATACATATATTATTTCTAGAAAGAAGCGTTCCTCCTTTCCAAGCAAAACCTTCTAATTTCCCGATAAATTGATTTCCAAAGGATACGAAATTTAGCAAAGAGTTAAGATATCATTTTTATTTCCTTGAAAACCGCAATGCTCAATTTATTTTTGTAGGAATTTCAATGTACTGCGGTATATACAGGCCACACGTATGAGAATCCAGAGGATCTGTATAGTGCGATCAATGCTCAAATTTATTTAGCACAAGCCGCACTCAATTTTTTAAACTCAATTTCAAGAGAGAGTTGCGGCTTATATTCTGGTGCATACGGTATTAGCTATTCTTGATTCGATCACCGAATGATTCAGGAAGTTTTCAAGCCGAGTAATGTAGTTTCCACATCCAAGCATAGCTTACCGTATATGACGGAAATCACTTAGAACTTCGTCGTTATGCAGTATGCGATGCGAATGAGAATACTGTATATGTTACAGCACATGTTTAATAATCTCATTCGGCAGTTAGCCATCCCCGTTAATGCATCGAATGTTGTGGATAGGTTCCATTAATCTTATGCTTAGTACTATACTGGTATGGATCAGCTGATTTGCCCATGACAGGCACTACTTGCTGCGTTGAGCTTGAAATATACAACCCTTGCCAGTCCCTTTACATTCCAACCAGCTGTGACGGCGTGGAGCACCTCGTTATTCAACAGGCTTCGCGTGATGAAGTCAAATCCTGAAATTACAAAGTAGAAGCAATTTCGACTCGTGATGCTCAATTTGTCTACACGTCATCATTTCCCTTCAGTAAAATTTTCATTAAACTGCGCCATTTATCGAAAATTATTCTATTCTTGAACTCACTTCAACATTTTTGTAACACTTGAGCGCAAAACTGGAAAAGAAATCCACTCAAATATTTTCGCCCTTTCCAGAATGTTCAGGATTTTAGTCATACACTGAAAAGTAGCAAGCTTCTTCGTGCTTGTAAAAAATGCAAAGACATCAGAATAAGTGCAATCTCGTGTTCCAAGTTTCCTGATAACATAACCATCCATAATTTAGTGTCGTCGGGCAATTTGTTTGCCCAGAGTCTTTCAATGGGACAATATAAACGGAATCAGCAGGAATTACGCATGGTATATTTGTCTGGTCTCTATAGGGCTTTTAATATTATGACATTTTGAGAATTGAAACAAACCGTGCTCGCAGAAAAAATTCATATAATGAATGAACCCATTGGGGATACGACTGCGTTTCAAATTTATCAACGCATGTAAAAGGATAATTTTTCTAAATATTTTTTGGTTCGTATGTCATTCGTCATCCTGTTTGGACACCCGGTGCATTTAATTCAAGATATCCTCCTTTGAAAATATTGCTGTCAACCTTGCCAAATTTGAAGCGCTCTTTCAAGTAAATGACTGGTGTTCGCAAGTTTCTTGGGTATCTCGGATCACGTTCAGTTTCGTGGATGGAATGAATTTATGTGTCGAATAAATCAAGACTTCAGGGGGAAAAGAGTGACTTCTCTTAGTAATTTCTGTGAGGAAAGTTGTCGTAAGCTTAGTTATATTTACGAGCTCACAAGAATGTTGCTTGTATCAGTTCAAACAATTGATTGCTTCCATAGGTCTTGGGTGGAAGATATTCTTAGCTCATCTTTCAAAAAAACCCGGCCAGAAATAAATCAGTAACATTGATCCGGAACCTGGTCGTCCTTGGGATCATTCTGGAAGCCAGCAACTTCAAGGAGGAATAGCCAAGGATTACCGGTTCAAGCTAGGTCAGCAGCGACGCTTCGTCTTGACCTAGCGCAGAGTATTGTGCTCAGATTCTAAGCCTCGGAAAAACTATTAAAATCTGAACAAGACTGAGATCAAAAGGAAACAGCCGCAAGCGAAACCAAAGCTCCTTAGTTTCGTGTAATCGACCCGATCCGGAATCAAGAAGACGAATCTGATTCTTTCTTGTACCGGGGTTTAAATGTCTTTGTTATGCCTCCACTTCCTTCCGCTTCCGACGTAAACTTGAACGCAAACCAGAAGTTCAATCATTTAACGAAAGAAAAGGCCATTCCTGGGCATCAATCAACATCAATATATTCGGGATACAGACTCCACGTGATTAAAAATAAAATTAAGCAGTGAATTATGAGATTCCTGAGATGTTATTGAGTGAATGTATGGCACTGGTACAATGCAGTAAAATCTTTCGGTGTTTGATATTTCCGTGCACTTCTGTTATCAAGTGAACGACGCTTTCGACAACATTTATTTTCCATGAACATTCTTCACCACTCCGAAAATTACCTCCATAAAAAGGCATCCCCTTTTTCCCAAGCCAAATTTCAAGCATGATAAATTTAATCGCAAGATGGTGACCTTATCTCTAATTTTATAAATGGGAAATTTTGATTGACATTTCTTTTTCTTGGGAAAGTAGATATCAACTTTGTATCGCAAACTTGAACGCAAACCAGGAGTTTAATCATTTAAGGAATGAAAACGGAATTGTTGCTGTGCATCATTATATTCAGTGCACACGCCACGCGATAAAACAAAAAATTTAGCAATGAATTATATCATTTCTGAAATTTTTACTTATAGTGAAAATATAACAATGGTATCATGCAGAAATTCCTCGCTGTTTGACATTACTGTATACTGCTGTTATTCGAGAGAACGATGCTTTCAACGAAAGATGTTATAACTTCTATAACTCATCTTCTTCATAACTTACTGAAAATTTCTTGCATAAGAAGGAACCCGACGTTAGCATGGAATTTTTTCCGCGCCATAATGAATTAAATCACAAAATGGCGGCCCTATTTGTATTTCATATGTAGAGGATAGTGAAAGTTTAATAATTTAACGAATGAAAACGCCATTCCTGTACATCATTATATTCGGTACACACGCCAGCACGAGAAAAAAAGCAATGAATGATAATAGTCCTGAAATTTATATAATTTAAATTATGGCACTGGTTCAATGCAGTCAAATTTCCAGCTATTTGACATTACTGTGTACTGTTGTCATTCAAATGAACGACGCTTTTAACATCAGGTATTTAATATGAATATTCTTCACACCTATACTGAAAATTTCCTCGATAAGAAGGATTTTTCGCGAGCGGAAAAAATCAAGCGTGATGAATTAAATCGCAAGATGGTGGCCTTATTTCTAATTTTAGGCGTGGAACATTTTGATTATATTAATTTTCCGTGGGAAAGTGGGTATCAAGCGTTTCTTCCTGCATGAGCTGGATGATGCTCGTTGGAGCAGATGATGTATTTCCTGTTTGGTTTGAACGCTTTCAGCCGCGGAACACATTCCTCAAACAAAACCAGTTACGCCCGCGGTGATAACACCGTCGGTACTTGTGGATTAGGTTACCAGTGTCACAGAGTTTTCCTCGTGCTTGGTTGAGCATCTAGGTCAAACCGAGTCATCGGGAAGGTCGGGTATTCTTTCCACCCTCAGTCGACCCCTAATCCATCCAATTAGCGCCCGGTTTCGTCCCCCCCCCCCCCCGACAATTAACATACGATGACAACCTTCAGATGTGGCTACTATCGGAAAGATGACGAGAGGCAGCAGACAAGGCCGAACAACACGTGCACCAAGGAATTCATTTTGTCATGTCGACACAAATACAGATGTATTAGTTTTCCAATTAGTCGCAATGCACGCGTACAGGCTTGTTTTCAATAACAGAGAGATTTAATTACTTCCTTTAGTGTTTCAGGGCAGTATCCGTGACCTGAACGTTTCGAAGCTCTTTGGCTCGCGTTATGGGGAACTTGTAAGCGTTCGTATCAATATCAGCACCTCGCATACCAGGGATAAAGAATATTTCCCTCGGACGCTGTGCATAACGAAAGCATTTTGAAAATTTCCCAATTTTTTTTTACGGGACGACTCGGTAAATTAAGTACTATATTGCACGAATAAGGCGTCAGCGAATAGGTTACAGAAGAGAAGCAACGGCGCAGCAAAACACTTATCGCTTGACATCGATCCAAAGAAGAAGTGCATTGCAAATGCTAAACTATTATTGATCTTTTCTTTGGTTTGATTCGATAGTGCATGATTAAAAAATGAAAAAATGAATAAATCTCGATTACTGACTCGGTATTGATTACTCAAAACTTCATATTCGACTGAGAGCAAAAAAATCGTCGAAAATCGGTACATTGCCGATTCTTCGTGTCAGTATTTGTGGATACGATATTAAAAGTTGCCCGGAAGATATTATAATATGAATGTATATACATTTTTTTTGCTTTCAGAGAAGATGAACCGTTGCTCAGCGGTGGAACGAACCGAGTGCAGGCCGCAAAATGGATCAAAAGCACTGGTATGATTTTGAAGGAATTTGAAGTCAATAATATCAATTGGTACAAAAGCAAGTTGCATTCGAAAACATATTGAGATTTTTTACAGTCAGCCCTCAAGATACGATGAAACCATCCATTACCAAGATATTCGACTATATATGGGAGTTTTTCATTGTCAATTTAGACACATGAATTAACATGTTGTTCCTAAGAAGATTGTAATTTCTGTATTATGGAGTTATTTCGATTGAACGAGGCATCAATCCTTGAATGTTCTTGAAAAAGACGCCAATCCTAATCACGAATCGTTTAAATCTTTAAAACTATCGAAGGTCAAGTGAATCAGTTCACAAAAGTTTAGATGGAATAAATAAACTTAATTTTCGAGATTCACGGTTTAATAAAGAAGTTCAGTTATCTACAAAGCTTGCTGCATGTTAAAGAAGAAAGCCTTCTGTGAATTCTAAAAGTGAAATTTTGTATTCTACCTGAAAGATAAGGATTTATTATTATTTTTTAGTTGCATTAAATCCAAATTAAACTGAAACATAGAAAGGAGGCGTTGTTCAGGAATATACAGTATTTTCGTCTTACCTCGCATAACAAAATGTTCAATACTCCCTACATGTGAAAGGATTGCACTCAATATTTGTATTTTTCACTGTACCATTCAGAATTACAGCAACTTTAAAAACTGGCTCCTGAATGATAAAAAGCAGTTCAGCCTTTTTCGCGGATATTTTCACGTACTCGTGATCCATCTTAGCTGGAATAAGGGAACTAAAAAAAAACCAGTACCAAACTATAAAAAATTAACATTTATTGAACATCTCTAGGGACCGCTTCAGAGAATCTTCCCCACATCTTGGCTGGTTCTCAAAATAATGCTCATGAGACGCATCCAATTTTCACGGAACTTCTTCAACTTTCGACACACAAATCCGGTGGACTTCAATGGCGTGAAGTGGCTAGGTGAGTATCAAGTGAAATGATGACATGGGGATTTTCAATCAATGTATCGATGACCATAGATCGCAGGGAAAATCATGCTCAAGAACCTATCATAACGCAATCAAATTCTACACCAAATTGAGTTTTCTTTATGTTCTGGGTTCTCAGAGAGTAATTTCGGTAGAATGAGATGTCGCGGAGAAAGATTGATTTTTATAATTTTCCGAAACGTCTTGACGGACTGAGGAACCAGCATTGCCAAAAATCGTGACACATAGCCTCCGTTGAATAGATCGGCATGCATGAATAGATATTTTACAGCCGTGCCTCGAATTATCATGCGTTACATTTTCGATCCTTTCCCTATTCTCAAAGGTGGGTGAAGTTTGAGGAAGATGTAGAGGAAAGCGGTAATCGGTGGTCGAAGCCGCATTTGGCCACCTTGTCTTTGCAATCCCTGATCGAACTTCGGGGTTACCTGGTCAATGGCATCGTTATTTTGGATTCCGAAGCCACGTCTTTGGAGCAAATCGCAGAGGAGACTGTGACCGAGTGGATGAAGAAAGGTCTGGTGAAATTCGGGGATCAGGAGCACGTGAAGGAGTCGTTTTTGCACCCGCCGAGCCACCAACGCGGACAAGGTGGCTGGATCATCCGATCACTCGCCGAAATCGGCAGGACTTACACTGCCAAAAAGGGTGAGAAACACGAGTACTGTACTGATAAAGTTATACCCCTGGAACAATTGCATAATGGTCGCCTTGAATAACGCGTGTCTTGCTCCGAATAGAGAACCCTGTCACAAAAAATAATACACTGCCTGAAAAGTGAATTTACCGCATTTAATCAAGTACATTGCAACCTTGACCAAGGCATGCACCAGGGTTTTTCCATTTGAAAATATAAAAAAATCATATGCCCGAGTAAGACGCGCAACCCATTTTTATCGATTCTAAAACCAAAATACTGTATTTCAAAAATAAAAACACCAAAATTTGAATTTATTCGGAGATCATCGAAGCATAGGAAATCTTGCTGTCTGCATCATTCTCCAAAGGAATCCAACTTTTTCGAGAGTCTCATTTTCATTGACAACTTCTTCACTTGTTCATTTTTCAAATCTCATGGTACAACGTATTTCCTTTTTAAATTATGAATTCAAAAATTATTAAACTTTTCACGAAGGATATTTTCAAAGTACTTATTGGACTAGAGAATTAATTATAAATACTGTAGCTAAGAATTTCATTGTATGCAGACTTTTCAAATTGTTCAAGTTTCACTGGAATTGGAAAAAGTCGGTTTCATAAACCGAGGCACCAAAGTACTGTAGTTTTATGGTTTTTCATTCGAAAAGTTTTTCTCGGTTGGACATTCGACTGGCACTTTTGTTTCTCAGTTTTCCAAACCATTCTGAAGCAGACGTTGTCTCCGAACGACTTTTAAATCAGCTCTCATTCTGAATTCTTTATTTTTCTCGGATGAAAATTTTCAACAGGAATTTAATTTTTTCGTGATGGTTCGACTCGGAGATATTGAAATGTTTCTTGAAATTATCTGTGTCATGCGTCAAGCTTCAATTGTAAAAAACGTCTGCCTGGGACTCTCGAAAATTTTTTTTATTCTTACCAGAAGTATTGATTATTGATCATAACATTTGTTTAGTGTCGGCAGGGAACCCAACTCCGCCCTTGACATTTCAGCTCGGTGTTCCTTGAAAACTGATAGTTCGCCCTACAGCGCCAAACGAGACATTTGACCTCGAAATTCTGGTATATTTTCTCATGACGACAGTTTCCCTTCACCAGTATACGGTTTATGTTTCCATTGAAAGCTGATAGCTTCCGGTAGAATAACGGGTTACTTCGTTCTTCTGCTTTTTGGAAACAGCCTCCACAGAAAGTTGCAGCCCCCCCTTTCTATGATTGCTGTGCCCCGATTGATGGGTTCATAAGACTAGCATTGTCTCCAAGTTGCGACTGAACTTGTCTTCTCCACAGCATAGCTTCCGATATTTTTCGCAATGCTCAATAATGACAAGAAAAGGGATCATTGAATGTATCCCAGCAAAGTTCTCCGGAAAAGTTATTCGCTGACAGATTCCCTCTTACTCTTGAAAAAATCTACGATCAACACCCTTAATTTTTCAGATTGGGTACAGTATTTGGAATTGAATTTTCTGTAAACGAAGCTTTTGAAATTTCTTGATATGAATCTCGGTGATTTCTTCTGCAGCCGAGTTTTTCCAGAGCAAGGAATGTTCAGTGGCGAGTATGTCCATGGCAGGAGGGGATCAAGCGCCTCCCACCGCGGAAAGCACCCAATCGGTAAGATTAGTTGATTTTGATTCATTTCAATGTTTTTCATTATTGGTTGTTCCTGGTTTATTACAGCCGAACACAAACATGATGCGCAAACTGCCACCGAATGTAGAGGCAACAAATATCATGGTAGGAGAAATGAACTGCTTGGATCAGCCAACGGTTGCGTTTATCCGCCTGAAAAACCCCATCAACCTCGGGGACTTGACCGAAGTTCCTGTTGCAACGCGATTTTTGTTCGTTTTGCTTGGACCGAAAGAGGTAAGAGAATCTCATGCGGAACTTGCAAAAATTCATTTGCAATGTTTTAGCAATACGACAAGGGCCATAAAATAAAAATCAAACGAACAACGAGTTTGACCTCTTTCGAGAATTTTGTCAAGACTTTGAATAATTCTTCGGCACTCTTCTTTTTCGAAATTGCGCTCTTTTTCCAGCTACTCTTTTTCCAGTTTTTTAGGGAAAATTTAGAGCAACATCATTATTCGGGAGAAAGGTTAGAAGGTTGAACCTCCGACCTTGCGAGGCATTCTGAATTTAACGGCTTTGCGGCATGCGCTGGAAGAGATTCTGGAATAGGTTGCAATTACTCATGGAAATTCTCTTGTTCGCAATTAATTCTATTCATCTGAGCATTTTCGGGGAAGATATGCAGCCTTTTTCGTTTCCTCTGCCAGGTTTCTTCGGAGAGCCTCAAAATCCAGGGGTAATTTTGATATTCCTTTCTAAATTACAGACCGAGGAGGATTTTTTAAGCGATGAATGAAGAGCTTGCAAAAATATCTTCAGCTAATGTAACCATATCGAATTCCGAAAAATAAAGTGCGCGCATCACTTCAATATAAATGCAAAATTTTTCAGCGCGAAACATGTGGCCGCGAAAATTTACATCAATGATGACCCGGAAATTTCTCTGGATTAATCTAAAAATATGTCTTTTGAAGGATATTAAGATTGATTCTATATAGACGGACACCGAAGAATTCGGTGAAAATCCAAGTCCTGAAAACTACGAAGAATACCGTATTCCGTGATTTTTAAAGGATGCTTTCCCTTTTTCTTTCCAGTATCACCTTCTGGACATAAAGGACCCAGCTCAGGTAAGCTGATCCTTTTATTTAATCATGAATTTGAATACAGTACTGGACTGCGTTTTCCCGAAACAACATAGCGACGAATGTGTATATTTCATTTTTGAAAAATAGAGAGAATAAATGCAGGTTTTTTGTCCTGAAGTCAGCGTCTCATTGTTTAAGGGGTTTGCAATTTTTTGGTTTCAAAATCGATCATGAATATCCATCGTAACCCAAAGAACGTAGTCGGAAATGAAGAATTTTTTGGGAGGACATTTGACCCTTGTTGTATTGAATACGACGTAACTTTCTTTATGCACTCGAACCTCAATTACCCGAACCTCCCTAAGTCAATTTGTTTTCAAGTCCCTGTCTGAATGCTCTTAAAAACCTTTCTAACTTGAGAGCTTTTCCATTAAAACCTCTGTAGATCGACTTTTCTGAGGCCTTTGGCTATGTTTTTCTTGACACAGGAAGAAGAAAAACAATGCAATAAGTAACTTGATGTGTTTTGAAAGGAAGTGAAAAACTGATAGCAGTGATAGGGCAAACAACCCCCTGTTTTCAAGTTCAGCATCCTGTCAACTCATTTAAGAAGCAATTTAATGCGCAGAATATCACCATTTACGATTTCCTGCAATTTTTATTCCTTTTTCTCAACAAAAATGCTTGTTTCCTTAACTCAAAACCTCCGTGAAATCGAAACCTCCCTCAGTCGATTTTTTCTTTTGGCCCCTTGAAATTTAACGTAGAGAGGTTCGACTGTAGATTTAACTCGATATTTCGGCTTCAGTCTGGGGGGAATGTCGTGAATGACGCGCCCTAGGCTAATTCACACGTTGACTAAATCGATTGATGGGGAAAAGAATCGTACTCAAAATGTGCAATGGCACAATTAGTAATATGGCATACGAGTAGCAGTAGACTTGACGAATATATGTATGCACCTTCGATGAAATCCAGCGCCAAAATGCGTCCAAATACCGGCAAGTCGGCCGGTCCATGGCAACCCTGCTCACCGACGAGGTTTTCCGCGTCGTGGCTTACAATGCCGCAACCAGCGATCATCTGATCTCCGGCGTGGACGAGTTCTTGGGAGCTGTGACCGTCCTGCCGCCCGGAGGCTGGGATCCGACGATCCGCATAGAACCCCCAGGAAAAAACCCAGACGTGAGTTTCGTGGCTGCTGAATCTGACCCCTTTATTATCTAAAAACCCATGCTTTCTCATCGCATTCGTGTCAAGGGCGAGCACAACCACCCGGAAAAGAGTGATGCGACGTTGAGCGAGAGGGCTTTGGCTCAGAAGCTGCGGGAAGAAGCTGGCCTCGTTAAAAGCGGGAGACTGTTCGGCGGGCTCATCAATGACATAAAGAGGAAAGCTCCCTGGTGAGTCTCGCCATCTCTTGAAGAAGATTCATGATGCGATTTTTTTCTTCTGGGTCAAACGGTTTATTCTGAAGCGAGTCGCCTTCAACATTATCAGAATGCAGAAAATAATGGTGTCTTCGTGCAAATTGGTTCTCTCGAAAAGAAAGCTTTTTTCAACGAAAAACACACAGCCAATAGCAAAGTATACCAGAAAGGGAAGTTTTAGCATGAAAAAGGCTCGTATTATAGACGCAGTTCGACTGAATTTTATTTACCCCTTAAGTCCGTCGGATTCTTCTTCTTTTTCTGATTCTTCAACCACTGCCAATACGAATTGTCCACTAGAAATTGCCGAACAGAAATCGAGCTTTATTCCAAGTTTAAAAGCGTTATATACAGTAGTTCCTGTTCCGTTGGATTACAAAATTATTGATAATTCGCACGACGAAAGGAGTCCTACTTTTATCACGGCAATTGTTAGCTGTTATTTTTCCCTTCTTAAAATTGATCGAAGAGTTGAAAGAACCTCTGACTCGAAAGCATCTTTTATAGATGAGCAAAATACTGTACAGTACACAGGAACTTTCCGTGATTTTGAATCATTTTTATTTATTGCCGAAAATGTGTTAAATTGAGAAACTATGGGCAGTTTTCGTATCGAAATTCCAAAAAAGTCTTCAATGCATCACGATATAGGCTATCATTATAAACTTTAAAAAATGGTACGTTCGATTTTTCGGGATTTTGTTGTCTGGAAGATGACAGATCATATCAAGAGCCATAAGACGATGGAGCGACTGTCACTGGATTACAATGGTCAAATACGGAAGAAAAATCTGAAGCTTAGATCACATTTTGATAAATTTTACTGTCGATAGAAGCCGGAACATCGACTGGGATTTAAATTTGCTTGGCCTCATTCATTCTCATATGCACCCTTTAAAACAATGGAAAAAAAATTTACTGAACATCACTGTGCCGGATATGCCGACCTGCATATAGTGGGACCCCAGCATACGGACGATTCGATTTAGGGACACTTGAAAAAAAAATACCCCAAAATCCGGACAATTTCTGAAGATATGCACATTTTTCCTACAATTTCTAGAACACTAAAGATGAAAAAGTTATTCCGCTTTTAAAAATTTTTAATAGTACCTCAATATTGTAGTTTTAAAATTACTTAGTTTCAAAATTCATGAAAAAACAGGCTCATGTTGTGCTCATTTTTACAGAGCTTATCAGGTGTGTACAGTATAGCTAGACTTAGTTCTGTTCTTCGCTTCTCGAGCTCCTTCTGATACCAAAAGATCAGATTCTGGATGGTTTTCTTCTGCAGTTGCATTTTACATCTTGGAGGTCATAAAATATTTTATTTAATTTTTTGGGGGACTGTATTCCCAATGTTTTATGAACAGAAGAACAAATTAAATATGTTCCGATTGAAGTCTTTTGGAAAACGTGATCCAATATACAGTATACGGACTCTGTGACATATGGACGAGGTCAAAGTACAAGGGTCGGTTTGTAAAAGATGATAAACTCCCACTTGCCGTCATCTGAGGCGGACGCAATTTTTTCCTTTGCACTTCAATTCTTCATTGGTGTCAAATAAATTTTTCATAAATGACGGCTGCAGAAGGAAACAAGAAAAGACCTGGATCACAATGAATCCCCTCCACTGAAGTGAAGTTTAATTGATCAAGAGCAGCTGAATGCGCTCTTGCATGCTCAAAGGCTTTGGGGCTACCTGGTAAACTTCACTTCAGTGCACTTCAGTAGAGGGCATTCACTAGCTGTGATCCAGGTCTTGTTCTTGTTTCCTTCTGTAGCTGAATAGTTGATGAAACATTTATTAGACACCAATGAAGAATTGAAGAGCAAAAGAAATATTGCATCCGCCTCCAATGACGGCAATAAGTGGCTGTTTATCGTCTTTCACGAACCAACCCTCGCACCAGTTACGTCCGCATCTCGGGGCCCCCCCACTGCATTCGATAAAATGTGAAACTGAATCAACGAACTCATCACGATTCGCGATGGATCCCCAGGTACTTTTCTGACTTCAAAGACGGGTTCGCAATGCAATGCGTCGCAACGTGGTTCTTCATGTACTTCGCCTGCTTGACTCCGATCGTCACGTTCGGAGGCATGTTGGGAGATGCGACCGGACATAGCATGTCTGCAATGGAGTCGATCGTTTCCGGAGCTATTGTTGGCGTGTCTTATGCACTCTTTTCTGGGCAACCATTGACGATTCTTGGCAGCACGGGTCCAGTACTCGTGTTCGACACCATCATCTACTCCTTTTGCCAGTGAGTCCTTCACGTACTGTACACGAAAGCCCCGAAGACACGAAAATAAAATAAATGAAAAGTTTCCCTGAAAGAACTCGGCGCGTACTTGAGCGTGCATGCACGGAAAATCGTATTTAGCCAGCGAGTATGAAAAGAAGAAGCTACGAGGGTTGGTTCATAAGTTTTGAAACTTTTTGAAGTAAAGCCAAATAGAGTTTCAACAATTTCGAAAAACGTTTCTTTATTCGCACAGCCCCACCATTTGGCATCACTTCAGCGCTGTTAAACACACTCTCCATCGATTTAGATGCATGGTTTCATGCGATAAATCCAACAATCAAAACAGTGCCAAAAATCGAGTTCTGGCAGTTGATTAAGCTGCTCTTCGACGGCGGAAATGAGGCTGTTCCTGTCGTCAAAATCAATTCCTTTCAGGTCGTTCTTCACTTTAATGAACAGCCAGAAGTCACAGGGGACTTAATCAACTAACAGAACTCGATTTTTGGCTCTGTTTTAATAGTTTGGATTTAACGCATTTAAAAAATCAATTGAAATTGGCGGAGAGTGCATTGAGCAGCACTGAAGTGTTGCCAAATTACTGGGCTGTGCCTGTGGGAGTAAGATACGGTTTGTTTTAACTGTTGAAACTCCTTTGAATATATTCCAAAAAGTCTCCAAACTTATGAACTAACCCGCGTATTTGTCGTTCATCGAGGTCAAGTCCTTGAACGGGGTGAAAACAAGTACGCTTCATTAATCGAGTGATAAATACCAAGTGCAGTTGAATGTGTAACCAAGTGCATTAGGAAGACTGGTTTCTGACCTCGAGGGGTTGAACGAATTAATCTTCGGACAGGCAATCGATTTAAAAAGTACTCAAGGTAATTAATTAATTACACGAGGTGGTCGGCCACGAAAATTTTACCCGTCTCCGGAATTAATGCGACAATAGGTAAGAGCTGTAATCCGAAAAATTCACCGACGAATAACAGACGCTCGAAAGGCTCCAGATTATTTTCGAATACCGGCTCATTTCAGCAGCTGCAACCTCCAGATAAACGAATAAAATAATAATTTATTTGCGCATTCGTCTTGTTTAACTTTGACCAAACTGGACGAACGTTTTTGTGATCTAACGTCCTTTTTTTGCATGACAGACATTCAATTATTTTGCTCCCCTAGATGGAATAAGTTTATGAAGTGCAGATTTTCTCGAGAATAATTATTAGTTACAGTTCTGTTCGCGAGTTAATCAGTCAATGTCATTCGAAGCGTTTCATCAGACATAAAGTGTCATTCAACATCCAAATAAAGAGGTGAATTTGAAAAGTTCTTCCTTAAAATATGGATGTCTATTTTAGAAATTTAAAATGAAGATCTCCTTTGCGTAGGTGCGAAGTCGAATCAAAGCCATATCAGAATTTGTACATTTGATTAAAATACCATCTCCAGAAGCAATTCTAACCAAGCTGAAGTAGACAAATGCGTTAGTGACAGTTAGATTTTCAATTTCAATTTTAAAAGTGTGTGTTGCATGGCACAAGTGATGATGAGTCTTTCGACATCGAATCGCGCACACGCTTATTGTTAAAAAAAAAAACCCCAAAATGCGGAAACAAAGTCAAGTCCAGATTCATCCCCGTGAGCTTTTACGACCAATGAGTAATGGTTGCCTTTCTATATATAGACGACAGGAATGGGATTTCTTGGCATTCCGATTCTGGATCGGAATGTGGGTGGCATTGATGCTGTTGATNCCTTTCAGGTCGTTCTTCACTTTAATGAACAGCCAGAAGTCACAGGGGACTTAATCAACTAACAGAACTCGATTTTTGGCTCTGTTTTAATAGTTTGGATTTAACGCATTTAAAAAATCAATTGAAATTGGCGGAGAGTGCATTGAGCAGCACTGAAGTGTTGCCAAATTACTGGGCTGTGCCTGTGGGAGTAAGATACGGTTTGTTTTAACTGTTGAAACTCCTTTGAATATATTCCAAAAAGTCTCCAAACTTATGAACTAACCCGCGTATTTGTCGTTCATCGAGGTCAAGTCCTTGAACGGGGTGAAAACAAGTACGCTTCATTAATCGAGTGATAAATACCAAGTGCAGTTGAATGTGTAACCAAGTGCATTAGGAAGACTGGTTTCTGACCTCGGGGGGTTGAACGAATTAATCTTCGGACAGGCAATCGATTTAAAAAGTACTCAAGGTAATTAATTAATTACACGAGGTGGTCGGCCACGAAAATTTTACCCGTCTCCGGAATTAATACGACATTAGGTAAGAGCTGTAATCCGAAAAATTCACCTGCGAATAACAGATACTTGAAAGGCTTTAGATTATTTTCGAATACCGGCTCATTTCAGCAGCTGTAACCTCCAGATAAACGAATAAAATGATAATTTCTTTGCGCATTTGTCTTGTTTAACTTTGACCGAACTGGCCGAACGTTTTTGTGATCTATCGTCCTTTTTTGCGTAACCAACATTTAACTATTTTGCTCAGTGCAGATTTTCTCGAGAATAATTATTAGTTACAGTTCTGTTCGCGAGTTAATCAGTCAATGTCATTCGAAGCGTGTCATCAGACATAATGTGCCATTCAACATCCAAATAAAGAGGTGGATTTGAAAAGTTCTTCCTTAAAATATGGATGTCTATTTTAGAAATTTAAACTGAAGATCTCCTTGGCGTAGGTGCGAAGTCGAATCCAAGCCATATCAGAAATTGTACATTTGATTAAAATACCATCTCCAGAAGCTATTCTAACCAAGCTGAAGTAGACAAATGCGTTAGTCGCAGTTAGATTTTCAATTTCAATTTTAAAATTGTGTGTTGCATGGCACAAGTCATGATGAGTCGTTCGACATCGAATCGCACACACGCTTATTATTAAAGAAAAAAACCCAAAATGCGGAAACAAAGTCAAGTCCAGATTCATCCCCGTGAGCTTTTACGACCACTGAGTAATGGTTGCCTTTCTATATATAGACGACAGGAATGGGATTTCTTGGCATTCCGATTCTGGATCGGAATGTGGGTGGCATTGATGCTGTTGATCATCGTGGCCATGGATTGGTCCTACACAGTCAGCTTCATCACGCGATTCACGGAAGAAAACTTTGCTTGCTTAATCGCCTTCATTTTCATTTTCGAGGTGCGTATTTGTAAAACGCTTCTTTTATCGCGTGGAACTGACAGATTTTGTAACATATTTTGTTTTCTTTTCCAGTCTTTCAAGAAAGTGTACGGCATCAGCAAAAAGTACCCGATTAACATGTCCACGGAGGCTCCGAACTACTTGTGCCATTGCAATTCCACAAACACTACCTTCCGAGAGATGCTCGAAGAAACCGATCCTTACGATGGCAGATGGGGTCTGGCACCAAAAGGACTCTGCGAAGAGGTTCGATTTTCCAGATCAGCCCATTTGTTATAATGAAATTATCAACGTCCGTTGAATCCGGGCAATTAATAAAATGTTGAAAATTTTTGAATGCTATAGGACTACGAAGGCGAACTTTTCGGACCGGGATGCTTCACCACGAAATATTACCCTGACGTATTTTTTCTGTCAGTCATTCTTTTTGCTGGAACTTATATCATTGCTGCGTCTTTGAAAAGCATGCCAGCAACGCCATTCTTCCCGTCCAAGGTGAAATTTCATTCAAAACAGCTCGGAAACATCGCGACTCTGTTCCATTTTCGTTTTGAGAAATTTATAGAATATCCTGGTAATCTTCTGTTTAGTTTAGATAACTTATGCTTCAGTCGGGGTTTTTTTTAGGGGGAGGGGACTAAAACTGGGGTTGGTGGGTAGGCAATATCTTGGGTCACCAGACGAGGGGTTTTCAACCCATGGTTTTATTTCTTTTCAATATTTCGGAGGCTTCATTTCATCATTGAAAATTTGTGGGATCATTCAGCCAGCTGTATCTTGCACATATAAAAAGTATTTGGACCTGAAGCTTCAGTTTTGAGTAGTTTGGCAGCGAAATAACTGCTGTCACAAGCAAAGCAATAATTCAGCTGCCCTTTGAAGGGACTTGTGAATTGCTGAATTTAATGTTGCCATTGAAATTCCCTAATTAAATTTCCAGGCTTATTCTCTGAAGCTCATAATCCTTTTGCGGGAGTAAAGGATCTTATGTAATAAACGATGCCTTCGGTTTTCCATTGCAATTTGACTAGCTGGGATTTTTATGCTGGAACGTGTGTACCAGCCGACCCAGAACCATGAAATAAGCCCTGCCTGGTGAATATATTACTGCACAGTATAGTCACATGAATATCGGTTAAATTTCATTCAAAACAGCTCGGAAACATCGCGACTCTGTTCCATTTTCGTTTTGAGAAATTTATAGAATATCCTGGTAATCTTCTGTTTAGTTTAGATAACTTATGCTTCAGTCGGGGTTTTTTTTTAGGGGGAGGGGACTAAAACTGGGGTTGGTGGGTAGGCAATATCTTGGGTCACCAGACGAGGGGTTTTCAACCCATGGTTATTTCTTTTCAATATTTCGGAGGCTTCATTTCATCATTGAACATTTGTGGGATCATTCAGCCAGCTGTAGCTTGCACATATAAAAAGTATTTGGACCTGAAGCTTCAGTTTTGAGTAGTTTGGCAGCGAAATAAGTGCTGTCACAAGCAAAGCAATACTTCAGCTGCCCTTTGAAGGGACTTGTGAATTGCTGAATTTAATATTGCCATTGAAATTCCCTAATTAAATTTCCAGGCTTATTCTCTGAAGCTCATAATCCTTTTGCGGGAGTAAAGGATCTTATGTAATAAACGATGCCTTCGATTTTCCATTGCAATTTGACTAGCTGGGATTTTTATGCTGGAACGTGTGTACCAGCCGACCCAGAACCATGAAATAAGCCCTGCCTGGTGAATATATTACTGCACAGTATAGTCACATGAATATCGGTTTTCTACCCTCTTACCCCGCCAACCGCTTTATCGCAGAAAGTAAATACCGAACTTATACCGCTATAGGAAAGAAAAAGGATCCGCATAAAAATGCCATTTTCCCTCCCTTCGTTCCTCGCAGGTTCGAACTTTCTTGAGCGATTTCGCCGTGATCATCAGCATAACCCTCATGACCCTGCTCGACATGCTGTTCGGGATCTCAACACCTAAGCTCATGGTGCCCAGCGAGTTCGCACCCACAATGGCGGGCCGGGGCTGGATCATTGATCCCTTCCGTGGGAACGATGCCTGGTGGTCGACGATCGCAGCTGCAGTCCCAGCTATGCTTTGTGTCATCTTAGTTTTCATGGATCAGCAAATCACTGCTGTCATTGTCAATAGGAAAGAAAACAAGCTCAAGGTGAGTTTTCATGCGAAATTAGAACCTTTGTGTTCAATCCGTCATCGAATTAATCGTGGATTTAATTACCCGGAATTTTTTCAGTGCCTACAAAAAAGTCCATGCTGCAGGCGCCAGTCTCACCAACTGGAAGTTTCATTATTCTATACCTAATTCGAATAATTCATGATTTGAATCTTGATAATTCCTGAGGATCTGGTAAAATTTACAGCTGCTTGTTCGGATACTGAAAGCGTTAGGGGCTATTACAAAAATACAACGTTGGGCATTGTAAAATGCAATTTTTACCTTTCCATTATATGTGATTTCATTTGACAAAGAAAATGCAAATTCTGATGACTCCGATATACAGTATTTGAGACAGGAGTCGCTGTTCTATTCATCTCACATTTAATAGAACTACAATTTCCACGATTGACATCGGAGGTAAAAATTTTCATTTAAAAATCCTCTGGCTTTCTTGGAATTCTATAAAACAGTACAGTATCATGCAAAATAGTGGTACATTACTGAGTGAAACGAAATTCATTCGCGAACTGTTACTGATGGCCGCAAGATTCAAAAATTAAATTTTAATTGGTCTTGGTTGTCAGGGGGATCATTTCTCAATAATTTAATAGCCCTTAGTACAGTACTTTCAGTTCAGTCATTCCTACTTATCGACCAGATTTTTCATGAACAATATGTTGTTGCATTTCATCCGAGATCTGCCAATTTACATTATTTGCTTGAGCTTGATATAGGGTTACATTTTAGGATCAGTGTCTTTTTTTGTTTGGGAAGGTTTGAGAATTAATTTATCCACAACCATCCGAAGAGTAAAACGGGATTTAGGATTTTAAAGAAAAGAGTCCATCTTCCGTTAGATAATGTACCGTACATCAATTTGGTTTCTTATCATCCTCAATTTCCTTTGACACTTGTGCGATAAAAACCTACAAGATTCGTTCTTTTATCTAAGGCGAAAAATACGTCAAGTATCAGCGGCACGAGTCGAGCAGCTGCTCATTTTTGTCGTACACTTTAAAAAATATCTCGCAGTTTCACGCAATTTTCCTATCTGAGTGAAGGATTTTCTTTGCCATTTCAGAAAGGATGCGGCTATCATTTGGACTTGTTGGTTCTGGCTCTGCTGATTGCCGTATGCAGCGTTATGGGTATCCCTTGGTTCATCGCCGCCACTGTTCGTTCTATGAATCATGTCAATTCTCTCAGACTGGAATCCGAATGCTCCGCACCCGGAGAGAAGCCGCAGTTTTTGGGCATCAGGTAACCAAAAGTTCAATTTGTTTTCTTATTTTATCGCCTCTGCAGACGAACCAATCCTTAAATGAGGTTTACGTGTTTTTCATTAGTAGTACAATATTGAGATGTTTTGATTTTTTACGTACTCTTTTCGTAGTTTTCGTATGCGTCTATTAAGAATCAGAAATATGCGAACATTTCAAAAAAGCTTGGTTGATATGTGGCTCTTCCGAAAAAAAAACGGGATTTTACAAACTTACGGAGCGTTTCACAAGAAAATTAAGCAGCGAGAAAAGGGCGTTGCTTAACTTACGTAGTTGAATATGCTCCTCAAACGTCTTGCGAGATAGATGCTTTAAACCTCTTTGGGAACTTTCCAAACCATAAATTAAAAATGGATTGATAGTGTTGAAATAAATGTCGTCTTTTTGGATTTGGATGATGCAGGGAGTGCGTATGCTGTAGAACACTTCCGGATTTATGATTATGCAAAAATATTTTCACCGCCGGGCCTACATTTTTTTTACAATTTTTAAAACTACGCAGATCTTTACGGAATACCGATCGATAAATGATCGTCAGGGTCCATAAAAATATGTAACATTTTCGTTCTGATGAAAATGCTCTCGTTATTTCACCTGATTTTTAGGGGCGGGAAATGTTTTACGGCTCTTCATTTGGGCATTATTGGGAAAAATTAATGTTTTCATTGCATGTCATAGTTTTTGAAGATTTGTGCATTCCTTGCCATGTGCCTCTTAGTTATTCCCACATCATGATGAAAAAATCGGAATTTTATACCGTTTTTCTGCCTATTATCCAGGGAGCAAAGAATTACTTCCCTGCTCATTGGGTTGACCATTGGCATTTCTGTCTTCCTGACGCCGATTTTGGGGGTGAGATATGATTTAGACCAAAATCTTGTTCGGGATTATTAAACATTTCTTTATTTTTTGACATTTTAGCTCGTCCCGATGCCTGTGCTGTATGGTGTCTTCCTGTACATGGGCCTTTCGTCGTTGAATGGAATCCAAGTTTTCCAGCGAATTCTCATCATGTTCATGCCTGCCAAATACCAACCAGATCGTCCATTCTTGCGCAAGGTTAGTCTGTTTCAATTTTTGAATGCGCAGTAAATTTAGCAGTATAGTATTTTCTAAGCTGCTTCCCGGAGCTATGATCTCACCGGTCAAATTAAAACCTGTCTGCTTTTTTGCAAGTTCTAGCCCTTGATCTACGAAAAAGAGTTAGAGGAGTGGTGAATATAGTATAGACTAGGACGTATGCTGTAATTGTTACGTAAATATAGTGTGCCAAAAGCAAATAGCGTATGTTTCGGTCTCTCTCGCAGGAAAGATTGTGAAGACCCTCGGTATGATTTTTCTGTTCTTTAAACAAAGAATCGATCGATGGATCCTTCAAATTTGTGCTTTGATTGAGGCTTTGATTTTTAGGGGAACATTGAGTGTCAAAACATTTTTATTTCGCTCTCTTTCACTCTCGTAGGGAATATTCTGAAGACCATCGCTGCAAATGCTTATCGATGGTTTCTATAATTTTTGATAAATTCACTAGTGGTCACAATTGCGTTTTTTTTCGGTACGATCGGGTCGAGAAAAAATGAATACGGATTCAGCGATCTGCCGTGAAGTGTATTTTAAGTCAGTTTTTCGAGAGAAAATGCATGAAAAGCGATGCAGCCTATAGGGCTCAAAAAATTTTTTTTTTAAAGATACAATAATTCTGCTTTATTCAGGTGTCCATGACCAGGGTCCACATGTTCACTTGCGTCCAACTTGCATGCTTCGCCTTGTTGTGGACCGTCAAATCCTTCGAGCAGACCTCGATTTTGTTCCCGATCATGGTTTGTAAACTGCTTTCAATTCCTCGTTTTTCTTCATTGCAAAGAACTGTTCGTGTTTTCTGCAGTTGATTGTCATGATTGCTGTGCGAAAGATCTTGGACAAGGTCTTCACCAGACACGAACTGACGGTTCTCGACGACTTGCTGCCGGAATTCCGTCGGGAATCGATGAACGAAAATCAATGCTAACAGACGCCTTGAAAATCAGCAATCGTGAAACGCTTGCGAAGAGCTTCGTTTGCATTTCCATCCTCATAGTCTGGTTTAAGAGCAATGAAACCGTCGTTTATCGAAAAAACGTTGTAGACGCAGAAGTAGTCCTCTTTTAATTTTGAGAGATCGATGAGGCTGTAGATACTTGGAATTTCCGCGTTTCTGTCAAATAAATTCAGTGTTTCCTTGTGATTGCAGAAAGTAACTTCCCTCAGTGTTTTTCGTAGATGATCAGTGCTTTCAATCTTTTCACTTTTTGATAGTTGGTGTGTATCGTGAAAGCATCTGTTCTTCAGGTTAAGGCCTTCGAAATTGTGACCGAGAAGTGATAACTGTCTTTCATCACGCTGATGAATCCAGATCACGTCTTTCTCGTTGATGACCCTTATTCTTTATTCATCTCTTTGTGTACATAATCTTCTCAGTTCGCGAAATTTGCGTATCACTAGCATGTTACCATGGGGAGACGCTTGAAAAATCGGCGTGTGTTTTTTTTCTGTTCATATATCCTTGAGGTTTTTCGCCTGAGTTTTGGACTGTTTAACAAATATTTCGGGCTCTTTTGCTGGGTTTCAAAAATCTCGAAGAGTGGAATAATCCACTCTAGACTCATTTGCGTCTTGTATTATATTTTTTTACTTTTGAGTATGCTCCTGTATTTTTCGAGGATGCAATTAACAAAGATGGGGTTGCGTGTTCCCTCTTTCGAGGAAATTACCGGATGAGAAATAAACTTGTATGCATTTTCTAATGCGCTGAAATTCTGGGGAATCTTTATTTTTTTAATTTTATAAATTCCTCAATTTTTGTCAGCCGACAACTATATATGATGTGTTGGCTGACTTTGCCATATCTCGATAATTAATATACCGTTCATATATGTATAATATACCGTTAATTAATTTCACGCCACGAAAATTTAAAACAGACTCGTCCAACAAACGTTGTCCCATCTAGCGAACATTGCTGGGCCTGCCCTTATAAAATAATCTAGTTTATTATTTTTGAGCAGCGCTGTCTAGCGGCCGCGATCGGAAACACAGAGCAGAAAACTCTCTGTTTACGAAATTCGCGCTTAATGTTAATTTATTTTGGTCAACGTCCTCTGAGATTTGTAGAAAGACCTTTGGAATAGTTCAGAGATTATTAAAAACTATTGGGACGCGGCATAATTTCCCAGGGCTAGCTGAGAACCGCCTTGCTGTGATTTTCTCAGGTTCGATCTCTCAGGAATGTGTGCCTCTTCAACCGTTTCCTATTCCTGGGAATAGCTCACTCATTCCTGGTCTGTTCCTTGAAAGAACCACATCTCAAACTTTTTATCAGGGGTTAACTTAGTTTACTTCTGCCCAAGTGTTTGGAGCTTGACTCAACTACGCATGCTGATTTAACAAAATTAATTCACACATAATATCATTCGATTTCTTCAAAAGGTCAGGAAGATGTATACATATACTGCGAAGTTCTTGGAAATAAGAACTTCAAGATCCAAAAAAATAAGAAGTCCTTATCTCCAAGAACTTCACAGTACTGTGCACATCTTCCCGACCTTTTGAAGTATATGAGTATGATATATATGAGTAACGTTCCGAACACTTGATGAACGACAAATAAAAGTTGAGTCAGTTTTTCAATTCTCTAGTTTATTCTAGAGGAGATACAATATCCCGTCTGTACTAGCCTTCGGGAGTCACAATTCTGAATTTAAAAGATAAGATTATGCTGCCTCGACAGTCCGGAGATAAGATTAGCAATGAATATACTGAAGAAAACCTTGGATTTCAAATTTCAGTATGGAGGCACAGTGAAGGTCTTTGCGTCGAAATAACTGGAATTTTTTCAGTCATGCCGTTTTTTGTTTATGTTTCGTACTGAAACAGTATAGTCAGACTATCTAAAACTCATTGTAGGTTTTCATCCAAGCACGCTGATATTTTGTGATTGCCATAGTCAAATTGTCTAGTGCTTCTGAATACGAATACAGTATATGTTTGTGATTTCATCGGTGTATACATTTGGTTAAGCATTGAAATCATCCATCCTTAAAATTTTTGTTGTCTCAATTTAAAACTTCCGAGGGTTTGAATCGTCCAGTTTTGTGGTTGTAGTTGAAAAAAATACAATACCGCTTCACCTCAAAATGCTTTGAATCTTTAAATTCGTTTCATAAATGCCAAACATTGAAGATGAATTACGTCTCCGGTTAAACTCCTATATTTTCATCCGAAAAATATTCGTACGTAAATTTTTCATGCAATTCTATAGAATATTAAAAATGCACTGGGAAAATGGAGACCATATTCGTGAGGAAATCGAATTTTTCCTTTTTCTCTACAGTCCCACCAAGACATTTTAAAATCCGAAATGGCTTTTGACTTGAGAGGCGTATAAATAGTATCCAAAATCTCTGAATAGAAATGAAGGTCAACGATTATTTATGATCTGAAATCTACAGTTCCAAAATTGGCAATGCACTTTCATATTCCCCTTATTGCTCTGTTTTCATGCTTTCCTCTGATCAGGTCCTAAACCCTCAGATTTTTTCCGTGTAAAGAAAAGTCGGTGTTCACACTTTTCAAGTCTTGTATTACGGTTTTCAATTCGGTCACGCATCTAAATTACCGTAATATTTATACGAATGGAAACATCATGAAAACCAGATATTGAATTTTTCGGTATAATGTTCCATATACAGGTTCGATAAAAAAATTTGTTCTTATTTGAGCAGAAAAAAAAAGAAAAATAAGAAAAATAAATCTGCTAAATGTCTATTGAACCTGAGGCGGTTTTGTCGTCTAGGAAAAAACACTTATGAACCGGCTTTACTTTTCCTCAGTCAGAAGTCGGGAAAGGGGACTTAATTTGCTCTGACTTTTTTATTTTATGTTGGTTTTTTCTTCCTTTTTCCTACCTGGAGTAAATCGTTCCAATCAGGATGATATACGCCTTCCATTCAATATATACCCGGATGAGCTCTTCATCTTCGTCCTGGCGAATTTGTATAGCTGCACTTTCACACCTGTTTACAGTACAGTATGCGAATACCACACCTGTCGCTTACTGCTGAGTGCCGTATGTTAAGAATAGACCCGGCGGAAGCATTTTCAGAAAATGTCTGCCCAGAACGTCTTGAATCGATTCAATTTGCAGAATGAATCACGTGTGAATATCACTGTGCATTATTAAGAGAAATTATCTACGTCATCTGAGATATAACTTCAGACCCAAACCCGGCTTATCGAACCGAGAAAAGAGCCCGTGTGTGTGTGTTTTTTTTTACGGGATGAAGTGTCGGGAAAGAAACACTCTCTTGAACTTAGCTTATCTGTTGTCACTTTTTTTTTTGCTCGAAGCTTGATATGGAACTTTTTATTTTTAGGTGGTGCCTGGCGGGAACTTCTTCAGTTGCACTGTGAAAAAAATTCATCCAGAAAGTGACAGGAAGATGGCGACTGCGTCAGGGACCACCAACACCGGCATGGTGTCTCTGATCAAAACCATCAATGAGCTGCACGATGCTCTGTCATCAGCCGGTACCCCGATCCACATTGATTTGCCGCAAATAGCTGTGGTCGGAGGTCAAAGTGCTGGCAAGTCATCCGTGCTTGAGAATATCGCTGGCAGGTGTGGAAAAATGGAAATTGAATGCGAAAAATTTATTTTGGGAAAAAAAGTTAATTTGAGGTGATCTTGGTTTCTGTAGAGACTTCCTGCCACGAGGAACAGACATGGTAACACGACGCCCTCTAGTGTTGCAGATGTACCACCATGACGGCGATGGTAAGCATTATGTGCGGTAAAGCGAAAACTCCCTCTACATACTGTATCCATCTATCTCTGCCTCTGTCCGTCTGTCTCTCTGTTTTTCTGTCGATCTGTCTGCATGTCTGTCCCTCTCTCTCTCTCTCTCTCTCTCTCTCTCTCTCTCTCTCTCTCTCTCTCTCTCTTCTCTATCTGTCTGTCTCTCTCTATCTGTCTGTCTCTATCTATTTGTGTTTCTCTCTCTATATCTCTGTCTCTATCTGTCTTTCTCTCTCTCTCTCTCTCTCTCTCTCTCTCTCTCTCTGCCTCTTGCTGCTTGGCATGGTCGATTCTCGTGCTGAATCATTCCATGATCTGTGACGGAAGTTGCTAATTTCCTTCAGAGGAATAAACCTGAAAAGGCAATGAATGTGCAATGATAGAGGAGAGAACATTAAATTGGCATGTGTTGAACGATGTACACGTGTCAAAGGAGCTTTCCACTCCGGGCAATCTGATATACAATACTCTGTTTCCGAATTTTACCGCAAATTCAGAGTACGCCGAGTTCCTGCACTTGCCCGGAAAGAAACTCCGAGATTTCGATGTAGTCCGTAGAGAGATCGAAGCAGAGACGGACCGTGTGGCCGCCAGCATGTCAGTGTCACCGATCCCCATAAATCTCAAATGGTATTCGCCGAATGGTAAGGGATGAATAATAATGATGCTCAAACGTGCAATTTTATTCTGATCACTACAGAATCTGGCACTTCTGGTTTACAGTTGTCGATCTCACGCTCGTCGACCTGCCTGGTCTGACCAAGAACCCCATCGGGGAGCAAAGCGCCAGTATCGTGCAGGAGATTCGGGATATGGTGATTGAGTTCATCCAACCCGAGAATACCATTATTTTGGCTGTGTCTCCAGCAAACCAGGATATTGCCAACTCGGATGCTATTCAGGTCGCCAAACTCGTGGACCCGGAAGGACTTCGCACCATCGGCGTTCTTACTAAACTCGATCTGATGGATGCCGGCACGGATGCCCGAGACATTCTTGAAAACCGACTGTTGCCTCTGAAGAAGGGCTACATTGGAGTGGTGAATCGCTCACAAAAGGTGAAATATTTAATATTTTATATTTAGGTGAGGAGGGGGGGGGTGGCGTTTCAGTTTGACCAAAGGTCACTGAAATGCAGGTTTTGAAGGCTTTAGTCAGGAAAAATCTGGGTAGAGTAAATCTCTTTGGCTCAAGAAATCGTTTATGTTAATCCTATGCTAGGGATGCATGAAAAAACAACACCCAGGGAGGATTTTTTTAGACAAATTTTTCTGAAGGATTATAAATAAAATATTGGACTTCTCCCGAATTAGGTCTTTGTTCAAAAATCTGACTTTTAAAATTTGCAGTGCTCAACGGTGCAAAATCTAAAAAAATATCCCTACTTTGGCCGCACAAGGGCTAGGGCCAAAAATATAGCCATTTACAATTTCCTTGGAATTCTTCTAGGTTTCCCACAACAAATATGCTTGTTTCCCTTACTCAAAATATCTTTCAGCTGACTTTTTTGCTGCTGGTCCATTGAAATTCGGATGGGAGAGGTTAGACTGTCTGTTAATGTCAGCATTAAAAACATTTGAATGATGCTCAAAAATGCATCGCAGGACATCAACGACAGGAAGCGGATCGAACTGGCCCTGGCCGCAGAGCACGACTTCTTCCGCAGGCACACAGCATATTCCCACATGGCGGACCGTATGGGCACCCGGTACTTGCAGGACACGCTGAACCGGCTCTTGCATGCGCACATCAAAGAGAAATTGCCGGGGATTCGGAGCGATTTGCAAGAAAAGCGACAGCGACTCACTGATCGAATCCACGACTTGGGCGGGTTTCCGGATGACACGAAGCGTCCGTCTGATATCCAGGAGTTCAATCGATACCTGGAGGATTTCAAGGAGGTGATGCAGCGCGAAATCCTGGGTCACGACCTGGACATTGACCAGACTGAGATGTCTGTCGGTGTCATGATCAACATGACCTACTACGCGGAAATCAGCGATTTCCTCGATGTCGTGAGTTATTGACTGCGTTGTTTTCAAGCTTTTCACGTTTTCCATACACGCTTAGAATAACCATAGCCTTATTCACTTGACGGGTATCGTCCATTGGTTGGACGATACCCGTCATTCACGGAAAAAGTTGTAGAAGATTCCCAGATTTTCGGGATGAGCGTTTCTCAATTACTTTCATGAGCATTATAGAATTCAGAAGCTGTATTTCCATTTCCATTGATATGCATCAATGACGGCAATGACCTGTGGTGAAAAATTGTGAGAGAGAATTTTCATAAAACAAATCCATGATCGTCTCTCGAGAGTCGAGAGGTTAAGCTTTTTTTTTTTTAATCTGCATTGGAATTCGAAATCCTCAACAGGTCAGTTTTATTGAGTTTGACTACAATTGAGTACTTTTATATTCAATTTACTGCTTCGATTCAAATGCCTGCCTATGTTTCTTTTGCTATTTCCTCCAATTAACCTAAATATTATATCTCTGATCTGTTCAACTGGGAATCTTCTCATATCTACGGGCCTATGGATTTTACCATGATGACTTCCTCATTTATCTGATTTTACACCATGTTCACGCTTCAAAAGAATCAAAAAGCAAGAAACTTCGTGTGCTTATCTGTATTGCCAGCTGGTTACAGAACACATATTTATTTATTTATTTGAAGATCTCATTGATAACTGTCTGAGTATCAGGAGAGCGAGGAGATTCATTCTGAAATTGATTGCTTGATTGACATACAAGCTTTTTTCCTGCTTCTCAGCGTTCACAAGGTTTGAAAAATATTTCCCAAAATGTTTCCCACCCCTCGACCCATTCCCCCACACGTTCAGCCATCCAAACACATTCCGACGTATCAGGAAGAGAAACAGTCATTAACTACAGCATGCGGGAATTAAAAGAAAATACATCACAGTGCATAGCGTAAGTTCCCATCCTCTTTTCAACTGAAAAAATACCAAATAAAAATCACAACACAACGCAATGTGAAATTGTACCAGATTGTTACAAATATTTTCCTCCGTGTTTTTAAATTCAGGCGTCTTATTTGTACGCGCGTACTTCGTCATGACGTCTTATGGGGTGTTTTTACATTACGTAAATGATTTTCTCGAATATTTCAGAGCATCCATGCTGATCCCGATGAAGTTCTGAAGATCCTAAGCAACCTTGCTGGTGTACAGAACCAGCTGTTTCCTTCTGATCAATCCTTCAAGATTGTAATCGGAAAGCTGATGCAGCTTTACAAGGAACCCCTGAAGAAAGGTGCAGGACTGATTGCGGGCTTGCTCAGCACCTTGGTGGAAAAAGCCAGCAGGAAGGTAGTAAACAACAGTTTGTAGATGCAATATTTCTATCGATTTCTATCAAAAATCTATAATTGCCACACGCCACCCCCTTTCTTTTATGATGCTTTAGCTTTTTCTCCGCACATAATTTTGGGTTTCCCCTAAGTTAAAAAGGTATCCATTCGGCAGCGATGTAAAACAATGAAAAATTCAGAAATAGAATCAGCAATTCTCCATTTTCAACATCATCTAAAGTTATATACACTGTTCTGCAAACATGGAGCTAGTCCACAGAACTTTTTTTTTTGCAGAGGAATAAAATTACTGTATTTAAAAAGAGGATATTTTGTAGCCAGTGCAGCAGATGAAGTTGTGAAATAATATAAGTCTTTGCCTATGGAAAATCCTTTTCTGTTCCTGGATTTGTGACTGACACTACATCAGCGCCTGAACAATTTGCGAAGAAGCATGAAAACATTTTCAAGTTACTTCGTTCCTTATGTATTTTCAAGTGGAAGAATACGATCAAAATTTGTATTATGCACGAACAGTCCCTGATGAAGTATATATATATATATATATATATACATACTGTATAAATTTTTTAATCCAGCAGCAAACACAACAAATTAGGTGATTTTCAGTATATTTGTTTGGCAAATTTAAAACGACCTCCTCGAAAAATAAGGTCAAAAATAACGGTGGTTGCTGAAAAAGTGTCAGCCGGTCCTTAAAGACTTGATGGCAAATTTGAAGGTCCGCCGACCAACCCAAAACGTTCGGGGAACACTGATTTAGACTTATTTTGAATCATCATTTACCTCACCTGAAGAACACAATACCCTTCAAGTACAGTACTGTAAACCTAGAATTTTTCGTTAGCTAAATAAACGGAAAAATTCTTTGAAATGCACCAGCGGTAAATTCTAGAGAAACACATGAGAACAATTTTCTGTTTAGTGTATAGAGTATGAGACAGTTTACGGATCCATGCTTTTTAGCTCGATGATGTGCCAAAGATGAAGGCAGAGGTACGGTTTAAGGTCAACGAAAAGATCAGCGAGAATTTAGAGGTGGCCAAGAAACACTTGCTTGCGTATGTTGACTCCGAAGCATCCTTCATTAATACAAAGCATCCTGATTTCAAGTACCGCACTGCCAGTGATATCAGGTACGTCAACATTCTTGTTCTTGCTGCAGTACAAGGACATGGACAAGGAATTTTAAAAACTTGAAATCTTGACTGTCCCTTCCCAGGAAACTACAAGACGAAGGTCATGCAAAAGCAGCTGAAATACGTGGCAGACTTAATCAGCAGACCAGTTCAACATCACCAGCAGTGACAGCAAATAATAGGCCTGAAGATAAAGGCTCCAACGCGGCACTTGCAAAAAGCATCAGCAGCAAACAGGTTTGCGCTTTTCCCCTTGAATTTTCTCGAGATGAAAACGGAGAACGATTTTTTCTCCTTTTTTTGTCTACCAGCTGTTCAGCGGTTTCATGACAGGCAAGTTTTATCAAGTTGGCAACAGCAAAAAGAGGGAGAAAAAGGAGTTCTACTTTGTTCTGGCGACCCATTCTTTGTCTTGGTTCAAGAACCAGAAGGTGAGAGGAGAAAATATGGGTTATGGGGTAAATCCCTGATGCTGACTCCGTTGGAGGGAAAGGTTTAATTTTTGCCCCATTACGATGGTAAAGGAAATTATTTTTGCATGCAGGAGGGGTTTTTTTTACCGAAGGGAGCCTAGAAACAATTCGAGTTCGGCGTTTCAATGCAGCCGAAGTCCAATATCTTCAAGGTGGATTAAACCGAATTATTTTTAAAATCGCTCGATGCTATTCCTGTGGTAAAAATTCAGAAAAATTCCAGCCAGTCAATTTTTTCAGCGAACATTTGCTTCCGTGTGAGAAAAAAAAAAATTGGACCTTTTTTCAGACTTAACCTACACTGATCAGTCAAATTTTTTTTCCTATACTCTTGCCTTGGACACAGAATTTTGCAGAAATATTTGAGTTCTGCTGCAGAAAGTTTAATAGAGCATTGTTCTTTCATTTTCTTCAATCAATTCGACTTGGTCTTGCCCCACATGAAGGATGCAGAAGTGAAGGGAGCTTTCACACTCTCCCATGACATTGTGTGCAAAGTCACCTCGGATGTCAAGGGCATGAGCACATTTCAGTTTCGCAGATCCAGTGGAGGGTGAGCCTTATCTGCACTCCTTCAGTTTTCACACCTCTTAGGAACATCATCTATTCCTCTGTCAAGTTTCCTGTGATTTTTGGATCCTTTTTTCAATATATTCTTGATGAACAGCTCTTTTTTATTTTTAAAATTCAGTTTTCAGCAACCTTCTCTATTTGTTGAGAATCGCATGCGTATATGCAGCACCAAAATTTTGAAATTAAAAATGGAGTCTAGGCTAACAAACACAATTTATTCCAGCACAATTGCCTTCATTAGATGAGTTGTTTTTTAGCTGGATTACAACGATTGCGCTTGTTTTTTTCAAAAGAAAAATTAAATCATTTCCCATAACCAATCCCTTTTGGATGAATGAGTGATTTTGAACTGATGACACATGAGCTGTAAAAATGTCGTTCTTCAGCTTGAATGCTCATCAGTGAGGGTGTTTATCAGCCAAGACTCCATATTTACAAGATTTTCCGTAACTACCAGGAGGACAATAATTTGAAAGCAGAATTTAAAATGATTTTCGTGTTCAAATATTGGTTGTGTGACTGTACTGTATTAAGGTATCTTCGTGTTGCAAGAAAAACGATGAAAAAATTCCTCAATGACTTCTCTTATTCGGCCTAATTTGTTTAAAAATAGGTGAGACAAGAAAGGCTTTTTTCCTGAGAAGAAATACCGCAGTCCCAACTAAAACAGTCAACTGCATCTCCCTTTAACAGGGCAGAACTTGAATTTATGACATCACATGCAAGAACTAGCAACCGATAACCTGATGGAAATTCATGATAATAATGCCACAAGATTCTTTCAGTCAGTTTTTTTTTCTTTGGTACTAGTCTAATTTATTAAATGCTTCCGATGAAAACGGGTTCAGGAATTGATGAAGCAGGTTAAGCTTCTTGTACTAAGATGTCAAGGTCTGTGACATGATATAGAGTGTTGGATGAATCGACGAGGAAAGAGTATGAGTTGAAGAACTTAATATTCAGGTTGTTGTATCCGCCGAACATTGACATGATCAAAGCAACGCCCTTGAGGAAGGATGATGGGGACATGTGGAAGGAGAAATTTGCTGAGGCTAACATTAAACTGGAGAGGAGCAATAGTATTTCATCACTTGTGAGTTTTCCCACATATACGGTAAATGTAATGCCTGTGTATTCATAATACTTGTCTCGTTTGTTTTCTTTTGCATCTTTTGATAACTGATTAGAACAGTTTGCAAGTTGATGGTCCCGGATTTGCGTTGAATGATTCGAGCCAACCACCGAGTCAATTTTCCGCAGCAGCACTACGATCTTCCATCATTGTGACTGAAACAAGCAGGGAGAGGAAGGCTGATTGGACGACAGTGAGACATTTAACAAACAAAAATATCTTCTGAGAATTTTGGGCATTTCAGCGCGATGCTGCGATCATCGCCCTTCATTTTTCCGAACACAAGCAAATAAGGCTCAATTTTATTTGGTGCAGATTTAGTCCATGTTTTAAAAATTATCATGCCTGGAAACCCCAGTCTGCGGCTTCGTCAACAGTTCATAAAAAATTAAATTATTACAAAATGTCGATCCTATTTCCACAGCTGTTGCGCAATGATGTGACTCTCACAGGATGGAAGGAAACCCTCATGCCTGCTGTCGAGGATTACTTGACCATTGTGGACAAAACCATTCATGACCTCACCCCTAAATGCCTGCAGCACTTCCTAGTTGACAAGGTACTTTGCTATCCTGCAATAATTACTCAAGAAATATCTTTTAAACAGAGAAATTATACCCATGCCGTATCTGTCCAGAATTTGTGGATAAATACAATTTTGAAGGATAAAATCTTAGGTTTTTGGCGATTTTTGAAAACGCGTGCAATTTAAAATCCGTTAAATGTACTATTCTTACGAATGATTTATAACTATTTCATTTTAAATCTCAACGCTTACACAGAGTTGTGTATGCTCGAAACGAGTACACGTTTAAGCAGCACTTTAAAGCTAAAAATAGAAGAAAAAGTATCTTGAAACCATTGCGTACTTGAACGAGTGAATCGGAAAGCAATATTTTCTTTAATCTGCTGAGAGACTGTATTTCTGAGACCACAAGGCATAAAATTGAACAATGATCGCTGCACGATGAGAGAAAATGGTGCAACAACTGGTTCTAGATAACAGGTATTTATTTGTACTGTGTACTGTACATTAAACTACTTGACCAGTGAGTGGGGTAGATACGATTCAAAACGTCTTAGCTTTGCAAAAATTCAATATATTACACATTTAAGGATGCAAAAAGAAAATATCATTCAATCCTAAACGAAACCCTGCCTTTGCGGGTACGAAAGGACCAAAAGATTCACTTTCATGTCCGGGTTTAGCCGGGTGAACCTCCATACATGGGTGTACGTGTGGGATATTTTTTTAACCTTTTGATTATCGCTAGGAAGTGGCGATTAAAGCTTGGATATCAATTAATTTCCACAGCAAAATCAGCGTATAAGCAACTTTCGAAAAAGTGCGATGTTATTTTAAGTTGTCGATATTTAACTAAAATAAATGCTTAATCCTCGTCAGACGTCTTCCTTCACAATCAGCCGATCAGAAACGGCTGTAAACTATACTTCCTCTAACATATCGGAAATCGGAACTTTATTCAAAAGAAGCTTCAACTTCATGCTTGAATCAGGCGCAATAATCTCCATCACAGTGCACTTTTGAGATTGAACTCTAGGGATCATGGAGTTAAATGGATATGCTTTTTTGTTTATTTCCGAGTATACCGTATTTTAGATGCTTGCCTCCGTTTATATTTCACATATCATGTCAATAAAACGCGTCTTTTTCTGACTAATACTGTATATGGTTCTCATTTTATCCCCAGACGCTGCATTTTGTGCGGAGGGAGCTACATGCGCAGCTCATTGGTGAACATGACGTTGCTGCACGTCTGGTGAGTTTTTTATATAGTTCTACATAATTATTCAGCATCAACATTAGATACACGGTCATCACCCTAACAAAGTTGTGCCCTCTTTCACGATTTTCAAGTATGGTGGCGAACTTATAGAGTAAAGTCTTGTTATAACAAACGTGCGATGGGGATTTCAGGAAAAGTTTGTTATAACAAACACTTCGATGAAACAAATTTTTCAAAATTATTGACTGGGAAGATTGTTTCAAATTTAACCAGCAAA